ATGTTGTGATCAGAAGAATGTAATCATCTACAGGATGAGTTTAATCTGCGGCACCAACCAAAGCTTATAAAGTGGAGGTTGGTGCTGCCATGGGGTGAATTGGATTCCGCTATGGAAGATGATGCCTCATGATGAATCAATTAAGAGTGCATATTTGTTGCTCTTTATGTATAGATGGGGAAATATGAAATGTTTGACTTTTGGAATGAAATTGTTTCATGAGAACTGAGGGGTTCTCGGGTTTGCTAAAAAAAATGATACATCTTACAGGTGACTCAAGCTGAAATGATACTTTTGGCAATTGAGTAGTGACAACTGTGTTTTAGGTGAAGTGATGTTGGTTGGCCTGTTTAATTATTGTGTTTAAAGTTTTAAATATTTCAAATTTGATATCTCACTTGTGCCAAAAACTGCAATATTTGTGTCCAAACAGTCTTCATATGTGTGAGGCAATGCAAGATAGTAAGAAGGAAGCCCTTCTTGGGTTTATTTCTTTATCATTACTGTGTACTGCAAACTATGAATGCAGGAATTCATTAACTTTACTCTTCACTATATTGCTGACTTGGATATCCCAATAAAAAGGTGAGCAGAAGAAAATTCAATCCAAAAAGAAGTGCTAAACATTGCTCAGAAACTTCTCAAACTTAATTCCTTCCTTGTGGCATGCTTAATGTGTCACCAATTGGTAGGAATTGTAGCCAGGAAGAGCGAGATGAGTTTGAACAATATATAAGGTGCTGTATGAGTGTATAAACCACTACTGTAATAGCAAGATCTCAGGTCTGGTTCGAGGACCCAGACGCAGCTGGGCTTGATGGTGAAGTGCACAAAATTAATGGTGATAAAATAGAGATCCAGACAAGTGATGGCGAAAAGGTACTGCAAGTTGATATTCTCATTCTTTTATTTTCTCAGGTTTATTTAAAAATTGTGTTTTGGTTATTTAGATTGAATGCAAGACTTAGGATACCACTATCCTAACCACAATCCTATGTGGTTGATAAAGATTATCACAATATTACATTTTAAGTAGTTTATTTTAATTGTTAACATTTAGAATTTGTAGTTTATTTGTATTAAAATGTTATTAGAATTGAAATTTTAGATTGATGTGTTTTAGTTGATAGAATTGGTGTGTAGTATACATCTTAAATTGATTAATGTTGAAATATATTATTTGGTAGTTATGCTGGAATGTACAGAAAAATATGGGTAGTTTTATTTTAAAAAAAAATTAAATTTTTTTTTACTATACGCGTCCAAAGTTCATGAACTTTGGACACGAATTATAATTTTTTAAATCAAAGCGTTACCTTTGCGCGTCCAAAGTTCATGAACTTTGGACGCAAAGGTAATATTTTGTTTTTAAAAATGATAATTCGCTCTTGAACCTTGGACGCGAATTATCATTTTTCGCGTCAAAAGTTACTTTAGACGCTAATTGTATATACAATTAGTGTCTCTACATCCGCGTCCAAGCAACTTTGGACGCCTTTTAGCCTTAACTTTGGACGCGAATGACTGTTTTTGTACTAGTGTTTGGTGCAATAATTTGGGCGCCACTTATCTAGCGGCTAATCCAATTTTTCATGCCCGCACGAAACATGTTGAAATCGATTACCACTTCGTCCGGGACAAGGTCGCATCTGGAGATTTCATTGTTAACTTTGTCTCAACAAAGGATCAGCTGGCCGACATCTTCACCAAACCACTACCGACTCCGCGTTTTCAGACTCTACGAGACAAGCTCAATGTTGTCGCCCTCCAACCTTGTGCTTGAGGGGGTGTGTTAGTAATAATATATAGTTATGTTATACTATATGGTTTATATGTTTGTGGCTGTTATTTAATTGGTTAGTCTAGTCTATTGTATATGAGCTTTTAGTGGTAGCTTTCCTATAGGACTCTAAGTTTGTAATCTCTTTCCTGATTTGAATGAGAATCATAATTCATCTGCTCATCAAGGGTACAAGTCTAGAGGTGGAGGATGTGGGGGGGGGGGGGGGGGGGGGGGAGGGGAGGGTGAATAGACTTGTATAATTTTAAAAACATTTTCAAAGATTCTTAAGCTCAAGTTAACTTGAACTTAGTTTTATTTTGAGTACGTAATGGAAAATATGTTTTACCCCTTTTTTTAATTTGATGCACGTATTTGTTGTTTTCAAATTTAGGTTTGGTTGTTTATGCGTTAGATTGTAAATGCAATAAGTAAAGAGAGAGATAGAGTTTTTGAAGTGGTTCGGTCAAAACCCAGCCTACATCCACTCTTCTCCTTAACACAAAGAAGATTGCACTAAACTTCTTAGTACAAAGTGAGCGATTGTGCCTTGATCACAAAACCGACCACAATCTTCAAGGTTTTTCACAAGTAGCACTTGTTTTTCCACCCCTTTTTACTAAACCTAGTATAGAAAAGATTGTTTGAACACAAGTTTTTTCGCAATCTCCAACTATAAGACTTGGCATAGAACTTCTCATTGAATACCATAGTCCTTTGAGTTTGATCTTGCAATGTAGCTTTAGCTCTCTGTTCATTGGTCTACTTGATGGAATGCTTTGTTCACTTGTTCGCAAAAAAAGAAAAAAAAAATCAGCATCGATCTCCAAGACTTGAATGAATGTATTTATAGGCTTGTTTGAAAATTTGTCCGTTGGAGGGAATGAAATTTCAAACGGCTATAATATTGCTTGCAAAGACTAGTGGGTAACATAGTTGGTTGCTTTTTGTCAGATTTTCAGCCGTTGGAAGTCCCTTTTGTGTCTGCTCCTAGCTTTCTGAGCTGTGCAAAAGGTCTTAGCCTTTTTGGGAATCTTCCTTGGGAATTATACCTAGACTCCTTTTGTCTTGGTGATATTTTCTTTGCATTATGAGCTTTTTGAGGAATTTAAATGTTCGTTCAGAGAATGTCAAAACAGTAGATGAGAAAAGGTACCCTTTGACTTCTCGTGGTTAACGTTTCAGGTCCTTCCTCAACAACCTCTCAGATTTGAGTTTCCTTAGTCAATCTTTAACTATTCAGAAATTAACTTTTCGCTTAAGTTAACTTTCTGTGCCCCTACTTTCAGGTAAAGGTTGGTCATTCTACTTTTCGATCATTAAACGTTCTGATTCAACTCTTCGTATCTTCCATTCTTCGCAACTTTAACTCCTCGGTCTTCAACCTCTCGAGTCTTCAACTCTTCATTGTCTGACTTCTCAAAGAATGTTGCCATAGCTTCTCGAAGATAGCTTGACTTCTCATAGGTTAATTCTTGAACTAATTTACTTTCCGGTTGAATTTAGTCATTTACTTCTCGATTCGTAAGGTCCATTCTTAATATGACTTTTCAAAGACTTGAAAATATCCTAATGCTACTTTTCGAATTTGTATACTTTTCGATTAATTAATTTTTCTGTTAGTAAAGTTCATTCTCTAAGTTACTTTTCAGATTCCAATTTCTAAAAATAAAATGGGGACTAAAATTCCTAACATATTTTTAATATCATCAAAATCTAAAAACACTTGTTTCTAATACTATTTCCATGAAGTTGACATTTGACTTTATAATCTTTGTTTATGCCTAGCCGACACAATAATTAAAATCATTGAATAAATTATGAAACAATGACAACATATAAAATAATGTTGATAAGAAGAATTCAATAATTTTTCTTTGAAAAAAAAAAAAAGAAGAATTCAATAGTTTTTATTATATAGCAATATTAAAAGAAAATATTATTTTGAAAATTGTACTTCTTATGGACATATATAAGAATCATCCAGCATCTATTTAATTACCTTTTTTAAATATTAGGATTATATTATTAGTACTAGTAATTCACCCGCGCGATGCACAGAAAAAAATTATGTTATTATAAATATAAATAAAAAATAGAAAAACTAAAATATTTTTAATTATTTAATATAATAATATTTTTGAGCTTCCATTGGTCAAGTATTTATTATTTTTATAGAATACAAAATTACAATTAAAATTAAAATTAATATTAAAATTATAATTTTGTATAGTTAATATAATCTCTAATTACGTGCATATTCAAATAAAGTTATAGAGAGAATTTACATAATTACATTGATTTATTCTTAATTGTATTTCATCTTTATTATAATTTTCGCAATACGAATAATAACTAAGATAATTACATTTGGAAAGTAAATTTCAAATTTTGTATGTGTAAATTTAAACTCTAATTGAACACATTTTTTATATGATTATATAATATATAGCTATTTTATTTTTCAAAAGTATATTTTTTATATGATTTATAATATATAGCTATTTTATTTTTTAAATGTTGTGCTTTTTTTTTTTTAATAATAAATGATGTTGTGGCATTAATTGTAACATTAATTATTTCCCAAACCATATAGCTTTATTATATAAAGGATTAGACTAGAACTCTACTTCGTGTCTTGCCGTCTTGGTATTCTGTATTCCCAGACATCATTATCGAATACAACACTTTTACATACATTCTCATCTGATATCAGCTTCCAGGTTTTCTCCCATGAAAGGTCTCGATTTTCATGATAATGGCTCTGTTCGATCTTCTGAACAGACCACTAAAATTTAGAATTGAAAATTTAAGTGGTACTTTAACATTAAAATTTGGAGTCGCAGTGGATGGGTTAAAGTATCCTCTATTAACAATTGATGTCATTTTCACCTCTTAATTTTATTAGTGTACAATTTTAGAAAGACGACATTATTTTGGGACAAATTAGAAAGTAAAATAAGACGTAAAATGGGATGAGGATATAAGTACTCCATCCATCTCATTTTATGTGTCAGGTTCAGTTAACGAGAGTTGAGTAGAGTTATTTACAATTTAATTTTTCATAATATTAAGTTAATAATTACTATGTAAAATTTATATATTTAGAAACTACATTAGAAGTACTATTAAACACAAAAAAATCAAATTTAAAAATTATAAGAAAATGCTAATAGAAATATGCAAAGACGAAAGAGTTGATTTGACATGAATAGTAAGTAGGACAGATAAAATGAGACGCACAGAGTATTACATTTTCGTATCAATCTGATCCATCTCACACAAGTTGATAAAGTCAACTTATTGTTTGATTCATAAAATAAGAATTACATGATAGATTCAATGTCCTGGATCGAAGGATTCGGAGCAATTGCATCCAGTGCCACAGGTGTGGCAACATCATTTACCAATGTCTCTGGCCTCCTAAATGTGAACTCAAATGGGGTATCGCTGAGAACCAAACGACTCTCGTCCGTTTCCGAAATGCCAACATCTTTGCAAACAACCCGATAGTGATCGCAGACCGACGGACAATACATGAATTTGTAGCCATTCTGGGTTTTAACGATCTTGAACCAGCTGCTCAGATCCCCGTTTTCTCCACCCGTCGTAATATTAGCCCTGTTTAATAAAATAGTTAGCTTAAAGTTAACTTAAACTTTAAGTTAAACAACTCTTTCAATTAACTTTTTGTGAAAATAAATAAATTATACCAAACAACTATCATTTAATTTATTAAATATATTTCTATAATCAGCTAATGTTATCAACTAATAGTCATAATCAGCTAACAACTATTACCAAATAGGGACATTGTATGAGTAACATCGTACCTCGACGGATCGCCATCGATTTTCCATAAATTTGGTTCCGGACAAGGACGGGTGTATTTGTCGAAAAATATTTCAATGTTTAAGTCAGTCCATTCCCGAATCACACCTTTGTTGTCGGGATTCACAGGATAATGGAAGGCTATTAGGCAGCTCCAATAGTAAGGCTCAGCTAGGAAGACACTCTTGGGACAAGCGTTCTCTATTCCGATAGAGAAGAGGTTGAACCCCAGGCCGGCCTCTTCTAGGTCTAGTGGTACGACGTAGTACATGAAACCTTCTTGGACCATCGTACCGTTGATGTCGAGGACTGGGTTTGGTGCATCTTTTGCTTGGGATAGAAAGAGAGAGAAGAGGGAGAGAGAAAGGAAAATTAACAATAATGGTGTGTTCATTGTAAAGATGACTTTGTGGAAATATTGTATATTCGTAAGAATAGATGTGGAAGAAGTATTGTGGATCGGAGTTTATAGGAGTACGAGTCAATGAAGCCAGGCTAGCCAGCTGAGATGGGTAAGATGAGTTTATTATAAAAATACGAGAGGAACCAATGGTTCGTTGACCAAATTAACAGTACCTGAAGAACTGTGATTGATTATTATAAATATGTTCTCAAAATTATTATAAATATATATACAGAGTAGATTGCTTCTGGACCACGTACTCCAATTAAATTACCAAGTTACGACGTACTATTTATACCATGCACCACAGCGTATATAGCACTGTGCGTCCCGCGCCTCCCAAAACGACGACGTCGTTTTGGTAAGTTATGTAGGGGTTGACATGATTATGTCATTATGTGTATTTGGTTATACAATTATGTGTACTTTTTAATTTATACAATTATGTACATTTTTTATACAATCATGTACATCTTTTTTTATACAATTATGTATATCTTAAACAGGAAATTTATGTGTATTATATTAAGAGTTGATGTTTATTATGTTAAAAGTTTATGTGTATTATGTATTATGTTAGATTATATGTATTATCTTTTAAAAAAAAGTATGTGTATTTTGCTATACAATTATGTACATTCATGTATACAATTATGTGTATTCTAGTATAAAATTATGTACATTTTTTAAAATGAGATTTTTTTAAAAGAAAATTAACCGCCAACACAGGGTAGCGAAATTTCAAAAAAAAAAAAAAAAAAAAAAAAAAAAAAACCAAACGACGTCGTTTTGCATCAAGCGCACAATGTAATATGCGCCCTGGTGCATGATATAAATCGTTTCCACAGTATCATTTAAAAATATTTAAAACTTTACCGGAATTCTTGTCAATATAATGCTTATTAGGTTGTATGGGTCATGTATAGAATACATTATTTTTATACGTAATGTTTATTATTTGAATTTGTACAAAATAGTATGAAGACAACTTGAAAGTTTATTATTTATATGGATAAAGTTTACTATTTGTATGCATAGAGTTTATTATTTAAACATGTATAAACTAATCGAAGGTTTGTCGATGATTTTTTTTTTTTTTTTGAGAATAAAAGCTTAATGCATTAGATCAGAACTGAGAATGTTCACAAGTAGCTGTGGGGGTGAGTGATACCACTCCCCGCAACCTGACAAAGAAACGGCCTCCCTAGCAAGAGCATGGGCAGCACGGTTCGCAGACCGCCTAGCAAAATAGAATATCACATCAGGAATCTGAGATGCAACCTCCTTTACATCATCTACTACTAAACCAAACGACGAACTATAAGTATTTAAAGTTAAAGCATGAAAAACAAGCTGTGAATCGGTTTCCACATCAATATCACCAAAACCCAAACCTTTCACCCAGCTGAGAGCTTCACGAATTCCTACAGCTTCCGCCTCCTTCACTTCATACAAACCCGGGTAAGTCACACATTTTGCTGCCACAAACTCCCCATGCTCATCACGCACAATCCACCCCATTCCCATAACCCCATTGCCAGCATCCATAGCCACATCCGAGTTCAGCTTCAGCCTCCCATGTCCAGCGCTCCTCAACGACAGGCGCAACAACATACATGCCCCCCTCATTGACACTCCTCCAGTTATTCCAAAAGCACAGGGCAGACCGCAACGCACCATCCATTGAGTAAGGAGCATTATTCCACACAGCATCATTTCGACTGCACCACACACCCCAACAAACCATGGCAAACTTACACAAGTTATCCCCACTCAACACAGCAAAATTCTCAAAGAACCAGGAAGAGATATTACCATGTGTTTGGGCAGACACCGACAGGTTCAAGTGGGACCAAATCTTCCTAACCTCAGCACAAGATGCAAACAAATGTAGAGCAGACTCCTCCTGCTGACGGCATAAATGGCACGTTAAAGCACAAAACACCCGTTTGGCAACAAGTTATCACGTGAGGGTAGAAAAAGAGAAGCTAGTTGCCAACAAAAAGCTCTCACCTTTGGGGTACCTCAAGCTCACATATCTTAGCCCATGGGCGTGTACCCTCCACCTCGCCAATGAGCATCCTGTACGCAGATTTGACTGTATACTTCCCCTTGGAATCGGCAGCCCAAAACCAAGAATCCGGTGGCAGTCTCTTACTCAACGGGATGTTCAAAATAAGACACACATCCCGTTCCTCAAAAATGTCCATCACACACTCGTAGTCCCAATCAGTTCTATTCACAGCAAAAAGGGAAGATATCGGGGCAACAGCTATAGTCTCATTCAACCCCGTTAAAACAAACGGGTTCGCGGAATCCGGCAACCAAGGATCCATACCAATTCTTCTGGTTCTACCATCACCGATGTGCCGCCTACTCCCACCACGCAGCAGGTCCTGGACCTCCATTAACCCCCTCCAGATATAGGATGGATTATTTCCCAACTTTGCTTCAAAGAAGGAGCAGGTGGGAAAATACCAGGCCTTGTAAACACGGGACATTAATAAATTCGGTTGCGTCAACAGCCGCCACGCCTGTTTACCAAGTAGAGCCTTGTTCATCTCGTGCAATTTCTGAAAACCCATACCCCCACTACGTTTCGGTGTACACAACCCCTCCCAACTCCGCCATCTGATTCCCTTGCCATTACCAATGGTGCCAGTCCACCAATACTCATTCATCAACGTTTGTATCACCCTGCAAAGGCCAAGAGGTAACAAGAACACCATCATAGCATAAGAAGAACGCCTGTAATACGCTCTTTAAAAGGACCTCCCTCCCAGCTCTAGAGAGAAACCGAGCATTCCAACTCCTTACTCTACCCACGATTTTCCCCTTCAAATAACCCAGGATCTCATTCTTCTTCCTCCTAACTAAAGACGAAAGCCCCAAGTACTTCTCCGACGTATCCCCTTCACGGACCCCTAGCATATCTGTGACATTCGTACGCACCTCCTGTAATGTATTAGTACTGAAACATACCATTGACTTCTCATAATTAATTTGCTGCCCAGATGCCGTCGCATAAGTATCCAAAACCCATTTCATCCTTTCACACTCGCCTGGTGTCGCACGGAAAAATAGGAAACAATCATCCGCGAATAAGAGGTGCGAAACTGGAGGTGCCCCCCGCGCTACATGCACACCATGTAGCAAACCACATGCGACCTGACGCTCTAACAAAGCACTTAGCCCTTCCGTGATAAAGAGGAAGAGATAGGGGGATAACGGGTCACCTTGGCGCAAACCACGACCCGGGATTATTGGGCCAAACTAGTTCTGGTCGTGTAACACGTGATACTTAGCCGAACACACCGTCTCTGCAATAATCTCAACCCATTTCGGGTCAAAACCCATCTTCAACATCACTCGGCTTTGTCGATGATTATTTATGCACGTATATTCTAATTAAGCTCATTTCTGTTATACAATAAGGTACGGTTCATTATTTGTAGAGTATAGCTAAATTTATTCTGCACATTTATCCCTCCTTTACTTAGAAATTGGACGTTTAGTAATTCACGATTATTCACTATTTGTATGTATAAGATTCACTATATTTGTACGCATAAAGTTCACTAGCTAGTGAATATGTTTTGGTGCATGATTCAAGCAACTGTGTGGACCATGGTCCATAGTAAAATTTGTCGGAGTTTGTTAGTATGGAGAGTACCTATTGGACAATTTAACAACAGTTTTCAGGTGTGAAATTTATTCAAATTGGCATGATTTTTATTCAAAGTAGTTATGAATGTGATGGTTTTTAATGGTCAAAGCCCACCATAATAGCAAGTTGATATTGGATAACGAGTACAAAGAGTATATTATTACATTGATAGGGCTCAATGTCCTTAAAATAGGCAAATTATTGTGTGGACGATGAATATCAGGTACATCTTAATTATAATAAAGTCATATGGTCTTGTGAAAATTAAATGTTGATATTAATAGTTAAATGTTAATATTAACAACATTTAATTTTCACAAGACCACATGGTATATATATATATATATATATATATATATATATATATATATATATATATTAATATGAATTGCAACTATGTTGATATTAGGATATGTATTTTTTAATAAATAATATTATTATAATGTTGTTAATATTCATTCCGTGCATCGCATGGGTAGCATACAAGGAGTAGACATACTCAAGATCAAATATGTATACCGCTAGCTGCGATTAATAATAGTAACTTTTTGTATCATACTATTTTCAATTATTAAATTAAACATTGTAAATACAATATCATAATTATTTTGTCATATACTTAATAAAAATGTAATTTTAAACAATTAAATTGTGGTTCACGTTTTCTTCTTCTATACTTCAAATACCATTATTAAAAACATTTTTTTTTACCTATTCTAACATTACAAACAAATCTTTAATATTTAGTCCGTGCATCGCACGAGACAATACTAGTTTATAATATATTAAAAGTATATTATTTTTGAACTAAAGGTACATTATTTTTGTCCTGAAGGTACATTATATAAAATAATGTACCCTTAGTATATTAAAAATGTACTTTCAAAAAATGTACCTTACGTACATAAATAATGTACTCTTAGTATATTAAAAATGTACTTTTTATTTATGGTCCACACAATTGTGTGAACCATGGTCCATGCAATAATGATTGAAAATAATAAAAATAGTCTATAAGTGTACTATGTGTGCAAAGAAAACAAATTTGGACCTAAGGGCCCAACTACCAAGCCCAACCACAAAAGGTGGACTATCACTGCCAACTTGCGGACCGCAGAAGACACTGATGTACTACGTCGTTAACTGAGAATTCGAGAAAAAGAACTGATGATGATGGTTTGAACGAGACACCCCCGCATTTTATACTACTTTCAAGGACGCATATGATGGATGTGTAGACCATAATGCTTCGTCTTCCTCTACCATATGTGTGTCCCACCAGTGTCGTGTTTTTTTGCCAAGCATTCCCCAGCGCCCCATGTCGCAGAGCACGTTCGGGGTTCTCGCCAACCGCTCGAAGATCACAAACATAACCCCACCTTGCCACTTCACCATAGGGCTCACCT